ACCCTGGTAAAGGTCATTGGCAGACTGATAAATGGATTCTACGACACATTCATAATACTCTAGAAGTTAGATTAGTCTGTGAGCAAGATAAATTTGATCAGTGTGCAATTAGATAATGTGATTCTGACTACGCGGGCGATTTGTAATATTCGTCCCGGTTTAACAACAGCTACCCAATATTCAAAGTTTCTTTTCCCCGAACCCATACGTGTTTCAGCCGATCTTATTGTAACTGGATTATCTGGAAATATACGGACCCATATTTTGCCACCACGGCGTGCATTTCGTGTCATTGCTCGCCAATGTAATCGAGCCAGTTCCCTTTTTAGAGGTTTAGTGTTAGTTTCCATCTATCCTCTTTCAGTGCTAGGGGTTCTCCCTATCTCTTTAGCCCCAGTGCCAAATGAATGTGTTCTTCCTATGGCTATTTCCAGTGATTCAAAACATTTCTTCCTTGATCTTGATAATATCTATGGGTACTTGCCGAGTTATAACAAGGGGGAATTGCTCAATTTCCAAATTCCTGGATTATATATACTTTACACTCAACGGTTATTTTTTCTACAATAGAGACAGAGTATATGACGATTACTAAAGTTGTGAAGGAGGCAATTTGGCTTCATTGTTTGCTTGAAGACTTGGGAGTTGGTCAAAAGCACGTCTTAGTGCATTGTGACAGTCAAAGCGTCATTCACTTAGCGGAAAACCAAGTATTACATGTAAGAACGAAACATATAGATGTTCGTTTTCACTTTGTGGGGGAGATTCTATAAGATGAAAATATTGTGTTGAAGAAGATCAAGACGACAGAGAATCCTGCAAATATGATGACCAAAGTAGTGACAGTAGTCAGTTTGAACATTGTTTAAATTTGACCAACATCCTGTATATTTGAGTTGATGTCGAGAGGCGCATTTAGAGGCACTCCCAACAGTTGGATTGAAGAGTTGAAGTGGGAGCAAAATTAGTCAAGGTGGAGAATTGTTAAATTTTGATTAATTTTTGTCTCATATCGGATGTGTACCAAAGATGTATAAGATCTTTTTAGTATAAACAAGACACGGTTACAATTGCACCTTATTCTATTATTCATAGAAGAAAAATCTTAATTAGGGAAATCTTAATTTGTGAGTTATTTAACCCTAGTTGTATTTTGTTGGCGAGCTTAGTAAATTTAGCATTGCGGTTGACGACGCCCGGAGACGTAGACAATATTGGTCAAACTTTGTTATCAATTTTATGTGTTCTTTATCTTTCTCGTCTTTTATTTATTTAAGTTGACTTACTTTTGTTAGTAGTAGTGCTTGTTAATTGCTATATTGTTAGTAGGAGTATTTTTGCACTTGTTGTAATACCCTATATAATACAGACAACTAAAATTTTTCCAAAATTATGAATTCCAAGTTTAATTAAATTATTTGCTCCCTTATCATCAAGAAATGATGCATCGTCCACCAACAGAGGTGTATTGAAATTTGTTTGACCTCTGACCTTAGATTTCTCTTCCCAAATTTTGACTAGATACATGAGAATGAGGCTTAGGTATCAGCCTAATTTTTTTTTTTTCAAAACGATAGAAACTTCATTTCACAATAAAATTGGTACAGGCCGAGAGTCTAAATAAACCTTATCAGTTCAGTACATACAAAAACAAGGAGGCCATCCACATGATGCCTAAACTCCCAAATCACAAATCAAAGAAAATAAGCAAATAGAGGCAGTAATAATTGATCCCTCAATCTGCTTCAAATACAGATAGTACATAATAATTCATTACAGAGACAAAGCAACAATTTGACATAACCAATACAAGAAAAGATGAAGAAAATGCACACTTAACCTAAGGACCTATCAACAAACTTCTTCATTATTGATCACTCTTTTGCAAGCCTGCCATCAAAAAATTCCTACCAATCAGCATGAGCTGAGTTAATAACCACATAATCCGGCATCCACACTTGTTGAAATTTCCAGAGATTTTTAAATTTCCATAAACACCAAAGGATGTAGGTGGTTAATTCAATCCTAGCCTTGGAGATTTCTTTTCTATCCACAGCACAAACATTCTACCACCACTGTCTAAAAGTTTCTGATGTAGCAATCTCATTCCAGCTGACGGGAGCAAGTTTCCAAATTCTTTGAGCTCGACTACAGTGGAAAAATACATATTCTACAGTTTTCAATGCCTCTCCACATCCATAACACCAGGGAACAATATCAAGCCCTCTCTGTTTCAGACTTAAGCTAACAGGCAGAGAATTATTATAACATTTCCAAATAAAGTGCTTAAGTTTTGGGTTTAATCTTTAATCCCCAGCTTTTGTTTCTGACTTTCTTTTCCCACAGAGCAGTTTTCCTGCTTTTAGCAATGTCCAAATTTCTGAGCTTATTTATTAGCTTAGAGTAAGAGCTAGCAACATAGAATGTACCTCGTTGTCCAGATTCCACTTCCATTTGTCCACCAAATTGGGATCTAATGAACTAATCTTGAAAATAGCCTCTGCATCCTCTGGTGTAAAACATTCAAAAATTAGCCTTATGTTCCCTAATCTTCTATCCTCCTGAATAAGCTCAGCAACCCAATGCACAGAGTTCATACCCACAGCAGTTTTTTAGGTACTCCAGAAGCAATGCCTGGGATCAAAGGGTCAGACCACACATTGATGTGACTACAGGTTCTAACCACCACCCTGAAGTATTGATTTAAGTCGTCCCTTACCAACAACCAATTAGACCACACCCAATAGAAGTTGTAATGCTTTTTTGCTTGTAAAACAGAGCAGTCAGGGAAATATTTCCCTTTGAGAACTTTAGTGACCGACAAATTAGGATGAGTTACTAGCCTCCAAAGTTTTTTTAAGGATGAGAGCTTCATTGAATAAGCTAACATCCTTAAAACCCAGTCCTCCAACATGTTTGGGCAAAGTAACCATCCTCCACTGTTTCCAGTGAATCCTAGGCTGACGATCTCCCTTACTCCACCAGAATCTAGCTGAGAGTCTTTATAATTCCTTTCAAATTCCCTTAGGCAAACGAAAAGTGACATAGAAAATACAAGGAGAGCACTAATCACAGCTTTCAATAATACATCCTTCCCAACAGAAGATAAAAACTGATTTTTCCAGCTAAGCAGTCTAGATCTAACAGAATTGAGCACATAAGCAAAGGATCTACCAATACCTAGTGGCAGCCCTTGGTATCTAGTAGATCTGTGTACATGAATACGACTGAGAATCTGACAAATTGAATTTTGCTAAGAACACAAGGTATTTTTGCTGAAAAAAATAGAGTATTTTCCTAAATTAAATTTTTCCCCAAAAAACATATGGTGTTTTTCCAGAATATGAAGCCGAGAATGAGCATGAAGATCATCAGCTTTACAAAGAACTAAAGTATCATGAGCAAACATTAAGTGAGAAATGGCAGGACTTTGTCTAGCAATCTTAAACCCTGGAACCTCCCACTCCTCACTTCATTCAAAAGCAGTCTAGAAAACACTTCAGAAATCCAGATAAAGATGTAAGGGGGAAGAAGATCCCCTGTCGAATCCACCTAGATGCTGAAATGTAGCCACAGACCTCCCCACACAGATTAAAGGAAAAAGAAGCAGAAGAAATGCAAGCCCAAACCCATTAAACAAATTTTGAGTGAAAACCCATTTTTAAGAGCACTTTCCTCACACTCCCGTTATATTCTATCAAATGCTTTCTCCATATCCAAACTTAACCATCATGAACCCTTCTTACCAGTACTATGTCTGTTCAAAAAATGTACTGCTTCTATTAGGTATTAGCCTGATCGCGAGGGTGATTGACTAGTTAGTTCCTTCGAATAAGCCTCTGATGATCTAACTTTTGTAATGGGATGGGTCGTGAGGTCAGATGGGGGTATTTTAATAATTTTGCTCAGGATGGAGAGTTTCACTTAGGGAAGGTACCAAACTCTGACAAGATAAGGCAAAAATTGGAAGACTTTCAGGTCAACAAAATATACTCAAGTTGGGGAGCGCTGAACGTTCCCTACCAAGATAATCGCGATCTTGCGCAAGTCCACTTCTTTTCTTTGTAACCTCAAGTTGACTTGGACATTGTTTTTTCTTTCTTTCAGGCCAAATTTCAAATCTAGAGCTCCGTTCAATTTTCATCATGAAATTCCAAACTTTCACTTCAAAAAGTTCTTGCACTCGAATTGGGCATCATATCCACATGGTACAAGATTCGAACTTGAGCCAAGCTGGTTTCCGTCTAATCAGACTTCTACTTCAAAATGAACCATCCTTTGGAGAGGCGCTCCCATTTTAAAATACCGAGCTAATGTACTTGATATACCTCACCTGACCGGCCACTTTTAGTGTTCGGGTTTTGCATCTTTCGAAGAGGTAAGAAAACCTGAATAAGAAACAAAAGAAATGGGTATCACTGAAAAAATTGCATACTTAATAGCCGGGAGACCTGCCAACTCAGGTGACCCTACGAAATCATCAACTGGTTCGGGCCGTACTTATCACCCTCCTCCAATTTCTAAAAGAAGAGATGCAAACCACCAAAATAGACAATTGTCTAAATAATTGAAAATAGCAGCAACACCACACAGGCAGCTTTAGTGAAAAAGACAACTGGAAAGATAACTGCCAACATCAGCTTATATTTCTTATCTATAAAAATTGTTAAATTTTGGTAAATAATAGGATATACATGCTACTCTTTCGAGAATAAGAAAAGAGCATAAGGACCCTACCTATAAGCATTCCCCCCACAACCATAAAAACTATAGTAATAAAAATTTTCGTTCCAATTCTCCAAATAATATAGCTGCCAGATGTATAATCCATGGGCAAAATACATTCATGACAACCATAATACAAGGAGACATCTTTTCTGTACTGGGGGCCCAAAAAAAAAAAAGAAAAAAAAAAACAGCCACCAAAGATATCAGTTATCGATTCTGATAAATTAGGCAGAGTTCAACGACCAATAGTTACTTCCAAAATGCATGTTTCTTCAGTTGGTATTCAACCAGGCATCAAAATCAGGAACTGATTCTTCTTGCAAACTGTCTTCTTCAAATGGGAAGATAATTACTTAATAGATACAGTCCCCAACAGTTTTACTCAGACTCTGAATCAATAGAAAGATATAACCTTGGTCTTACAGAACGCCGTTGGCGAGGAAAATTGAAAGGACTATCTGATCTTTCCCTAGTTGTCGCCTTACCAGACCTATTCCCATTCATTCCAAGTAACAATGATGCTGCCAAAAGAACGAAGCAAGATTTTTTATTAGAAGAAAAAAGGAGAAACAAAATAACAAAGAGAATAATCCAAGCCATACCCAGACGATAATAACTAGACCCAGATCATCTACAGCCATTTAAGATATGAGAGTGAGTACTATTGTACCTTTGCATTTCATAATGAATCACATATAAGTAACTTACCAGCAAGGTAGACCCATGTGCAGAATATGCCATAAGGTCAAATCAGTAAACACACGCACACACAGATAGAAGACTATCCCGGAGGTTTAGCCTAATTGTAAAAATATAGAAAAGACATCCTAAAAAACAACCCAACTTTTCGTAGATATGTAAAATTACTAGGAGTAACATCACATCACATACCACCGTCTGCCAGTGTACCCAAGCCACCGTCACCCGACTGCACTTGCTGCCCCGAACCCACACGAGCCCCAGGACCAGATTCGCCTTGACGACCCCCGACTCCATCCCCAAGCCTCAGAGAAATCCAATCCTCTGTGCCAACACCACCACCATTCGGAACATCTGCATCTCTCGAATTCAATTGCATGCCCGACGGCCTTGTCGGCAGAAATATCTGAAGCGAAGGATCACTTCCCCCAAATGCCAGCGGATTATCGATCAATCCATCATTCATATTAGAATGCTGATCGGGCCCACTGGTGGGCTCAGGGACAAGCGCAGCAGATCCCATGGCAGTCTCAGCAGTCATGGTGTAACCATTCATTGAAGACGAGCAGTTAAGAGGTCCTTGGTGCTGCATGTCGACCAAGGCATCATTCACGTTCACATCAGATCCAAACAGCTGAAACCCGGCACCCCCCTGATTTCCAGAAGGCAATGACCACGGGGGGTTCATCCCAAAATCATCCTCGTTTACATTGAAAAGGCCGAGACAAGAGTTCCCGATGCTGCCAAGAGCCGGATTTTCGTAGTACGGATCGGGAATTTGATTCTGCACATTCGGAAACTGGGGCCCACCGACATCTGGTCCGGGATTCTTGTACATGACGGCTCCGGAAGATGTCTGCGGCTCGATTTCTTCATCTGAATCACTGAGGACAATTACCCCTGCGTCGCCAGCTGGCACGGGTGTGGCCCGGCCGTTGAACCCATTGGCTTCTGCGTTGATCATCGAGATTGATTCATACTCAACCCCATTGACCGTGGAGAAATCGAGGGTGGTGGGCCCACCATCCTGGTTCACGCTGGCATCTTCACACTCCCGGCCACTGCCAGTGGCACTGCTGCTCATGGGAATTACGTTCGGGCTGTTATGGAAATTCTCATTGGATTTATTGGCAGGCAAGATGCCGTGCATGTTATCCGGTTTGTTGATAACCCAGCGGCCGTTTTGGTTTTTTCTCATTCCTAATCTCAGACCGGGATGGCTATCGGAGCCGACTTCCTGTTTGACCGGTTTGAGTTCCGGTTTGGGTTTGGATTCAGCTTCCATGGATGCACAGATGCTACCATCGGGCCCATGCCATAGCCCAAGCTCTCCAAGAGCCCTTCGATCCCCACCCTCTCCCTTAGCACGCCAGGAACCGTCGGGCTTCACCTCGATTTCTGCCACATCTTCCCCACATTTTTGCATCTGTCAAACATAATTAGGGAATAAACATGTAATATGAAAGTCGAAACAAAAACTACTTGGCCTCAATGGAATGAAGAGTTGGTACCTTGGATGTGATTCGATTAAAATATGGATCTATGATGATTTTCTCCAAAGAGTAGTTCTTTAGACAAATGGGGCATTGCCACTGCAATCACAAATAGGTAAAAGAAGTGTAATGAAATCGT